ACAGAACTTGAAAATTATCATTACAGTCGAACCTGTATATAACGGCCCTGTATTAAGCGGCCAGTTTTCAAAGTCCCGAGTCGTATTTGCTACTTGTATTAAAACCTGTATTAAGCGGCCACCTGTATTTAGCGGCCACTTTCTGAAGTCCCGAGGGTGACCGTTATATACAGGTTTGACTGTATTATTAATTTAATTAATTAATTTTATTATTATTATTTTTTCTGGCATGTGGCCTTTGGTTGGACTGTATCACTCATCAATAAAACAGTCTAAATTGGCTTTTAGGGGTAAAAATAAACTTGAGCCCCACAAATGGATTATGGTACCTTTCAGGGGTATTTCCCAAAATTTCTGACAAGTATCCCTGGCCTGTCACTCTTATATGGGAGCCTGTCCCTACACAAAACAAGTTAAATAACCAAAAAATGATTTTTATTGTGGAAAACCAATATTATAAACAGGTTGGTTGTAGTCCTGACTGCACAATGCAAAACACAGTTCAAAGCTAAGTCTGGTTTTCAAGAAAGAAAAACTGAAAAATGTTGGATAATAAATCTCTTTTAGTGTGTAGAATTGCTGTACATTTTTACTTGACATTTGTAATTTGTCTCACCCTACACCTCACTAAAATACAGCAAGACTATTATTGAAATGATTTCATGGAACAATCTCAGACAAAAATTATATTCAATCACCCTGTAGTGTTTTCCCAGCATATCTCTCTGCTCAGCCCTGAGAGTCTATAGCCAGAGAGGCTACGGATACATGTATTATTCTCAAGAATTTCATCTACTATAGATAATTTTATGGCAGAAGGCTAGGCACAGTGTGCCTAATGATAAATGTTTTGATCTTTGGATCCAAACATCCAGATTCAAGTCTGGCAAGTGTCCTTGTGTTGTGTTCTTGGTCACAAACGTGCTTATCTCTACCAGTGTTTCAGTCAAATAATTTTAAAGTCTGGGCATCCACCTTGTATACCCAAGCATATACTATAACCTAAGTATATCGACTTGTGGACTGTCCTTTATAGGATTTGCAACTCAACTATGTAAAATGTAATAAAGAAAGGAAGATGGTATATAGATGTGTATGTGCATGCAAGCCTGGATCTACCAATGACAACCATAGTTTGGAAACCCAGGGCAAATAATTGGGGCAGGAGGAAGATAAAACAGGCGACATTTTGTACACACAGATTTCGTCCATTTTATCTTCCTCCTGTCACAATTATCTGTTTAAGTAGAAACCATGCTTCAAGTGAATTTAAATTTTTCTGCGACTACCTGATTTGACTCGGCCATTTGGCTGTCAACTTCTGATTTCATCAAACAATTTTCATATGACAACATACATTGTGTACTCATGTTGCATATACAAACTGACATAGTTCACCCTTGATGACTCAAATGAAATATATTTATTGTCAGGCAAGACTAATTATATATATTTGTAATAAGTTATTGTTAGTGAAAATTTGTTTAACAACAACAATTATTTTGCTAGCACATTTACTGGCTAGAATTCGTATCAATTCTTTGATGATTCATGCTTAGCAGTGACAATACAAATGAGCTTACAAAATTAAATGAAAATAAATAAAATAAATTATAAACTATATCTGACGAAGAATTACAGTAAAAATGCAATTAATAGAAGTTTTGCCTTTTACATTTCTAAATAATTTTACATGTACATGCAACTCTTTACTCTTCACAATTAACAAGCAGAGGTAGCCTTGGCTACTCAAGACGAAAATTATTTAACCAAAACTAAAAGCCCATCTACTTAATTTTCGCCTAAAATCGTGGGTACCCTGCAGGCTGGTAACTTTCACGATGTATTCCAGAACTTTCTGCTGGCTCGCATTCGGTATAGAAAATCAAACACGAACGCATCATCATCTGATATCATTCATTGAATAATTTGGTCTGTATCGAGTATAAAGACAGCAAAAAGAGCATATTCTAGTCAATTAGAAAATTGAATACCTCATCGAGCTTTGGTAGACGTAACACATTGTTGTCTTAATAGTTCTCAATCCGTAACAAAGGATTCTTGACAAAGATTTGAGGTCTAAATACCCGATCGATGTAACATCAACTGCAGAAGCTGCCGCCATTATAAACAAGTGAGCCACAATCAGTTACAGCGGTTACTCTCTCTGCGCATATTCAGAACGCATTTATTGATGCTGACCAAAACGATCGCGGCCGCTGGGAATGAGATCGCGCACGCGCACAAGCAGACCGGAACCAAGGATCCTTGGTTCCGGTTATTGAATCGCCCAGAGCCGTTGGGCGTTCTGTCACCGCTGACCGAAACGCGCTGGCTCTGGGGACGAGATTGCGTTTACACGTTCCACCAAAATGGCGAGGTGCCGCTTTTCACCCTTGCCTCGCCGATATTTGAGAAAAACGGGACAACGTCCGGACGTGGTCCCAAAACCCCAAAATACATTGGCAAGGCAAGGCAGGCTTACACTCTTCACACAACACAATAACTATTCATCCTTGCCCATTCTCCACCACAGTAAATCGTCGATGTTCAACTTCGATTTGACACAATCCTTTTGGGCATTTGCTGTGACTGTTCTGTGGTTGCAAATTGTACTGAAACTTCCGAGAAGCTTTTTGTGAGATGGAGAATAGACACGAACAGTTTTGCGACAAAGACTGCTGCCCGGCCGATGGTGTTTCGAGCAGCCGCTTGGAGACGTTATGATGATGCTCTGCTTCGGTGCAGTTTTGCAAGCAGCAGCCTGGCAACCTATCTAACTCCGTGCGAGTTCGTAGTGTTCCCAAATTTCTAATTTTGCGAGCGCAAGGATTACTTGGTGTTATTAAACACAACTTCAGTATTGGCAAGGATTTCTCCTTTTCTTTTCGATGGTTTGAAAAGATTTTCTGAAGAAATATAACCAGGTTTTCCTGGCTGAGATGCAGTTCCAAATTTTACTTTGAAATGACACCGACAAACTCTGCAGCGATCGCTTGGAGTTGGAGTCCCGACCTGGAGCATTTGAAGGGTGTAATTTTACATCCGGTAATCTGTTATTGACAAGCTGTCAATCAACAAATGGAATCAACAGTGAAAAATCGGCGGGCGTTTTTCAAAATCATGGGGTTTGCTTGCAAGCGTTCCCTCGGCGCCCACCCCCTCCCCCCACTCCGACGTTTTTGCTCTCGCCCCAATTTTCGCGCGGCCAAAATGCAGAAAAAGCTCTTCGATCGCGGAAAAAGGTATTTGTTCGTACAGGAACGCTTGCTACGCAGGCTATGTGAGGTGTAGACTTTTATGCCGAACACGAGGTATATGGTTACGTAACACATCCCAACGGACCAAATACTGCATGCTGAATATATCTTATCATAGAGAATAGTTCGAGAAGAGAAGTAATAACAACAAGAGTAGTAATAATAAAGGCTTCCTGTATAATACATGTAATTGTTGCAGCATATAGACAGAAACCGAGAGTGAAATGATCCTTTGAATCTGAGTTATTATTTAGGAAATATGTCTCATCATCAGAATTTGATAAAACTGTATATGAGATATCAAATAAAATGGAACACTTTGAAATTTATACGGAAATTTAAAATGTGCTCAAAAAGGCAAACAAAACTGATGCAATAAGAAAATCAGCAAACTTGGACTGCCCAAAAATCACGGCAAAAGTCATGGGTCTGAATCCCGTAGGAGCCTAAGTTTTTCAGGCCCTCTTTTCAACTTCTTTAGTTGATGAATTCCTGCAAGGATGTCATTCTCTTTCATTCTTTCCACCACAGTTTACATACATGTATATGACTTGTTTCAGATACTCATCATCATCTATTTCAGAACAATCATCTACATGTAGCCTTCATGAATTTTGGAAACATTACAATTCAATGTAATAGTCAAATACAATTCAAAATACCAGCGATAATTAAAGTATTTAGCAAAAGCACTTACAAATGGCAAAAATAATAATGTAAAATGTGTTGTGTGGGTGTATCCATAGCTAAGCAACCCCACACCCTAGCACCATTCTTTACCATGTCTGTGAGGAATTCCATCTGTGCATAATAGCACAGCAACATTTTCCCCCAATTTCTACTCTGTAGCACAAGTATCATTTAGTTTATTTTCAAGATGACAACACTTGGAATTTTATAGGCCATTTATTATAATATTAATGGCAAGGAAATTTAAAATGGGCTCAATGTGTAAAAACAAAACGCAATAAGAAAATCAACACACTTGGATAGCCTAAAAATCATAAATAAGTAATTTAATATACACTTGATCATGCACCTGTCACACAAAACATAGTTTCCATGGCTAAGATACTGCAATCAAAATATTCATAATTGTGCCCATATCTTAATGGATTCTCAAGTTATAGCTGTTTTAAAGTCTGTACAGGCATGTTTTGTCTTCCTCTGCCAGGCCCTGGTATAAATAGGAACAATGTTGTTTTCAACTAAGAGTATTACTTACAGGTTTCTCAGCCCCAGTTGTCTGTCAAAAACTCCTTCAGGCAAGTCCTGCAACTGGTTGTTGGACAAGTCCCTGTCAAAAATATAACCAATACGGCTTTAATAGATATGTGTAAATTCTAAGCTTTTTCACTTCAACAAGCCTAATACTTTTGCTGTGGGTGTATGCTCTTCAGTTAAAAAAAAAAACATGAAAACATTTTCCCTGCATGCAATTCTATGGCAGATTTGTGGTCGTTAGAATAAGTTAAGATGGAATTTTTCATTTCCAAAGAAACAACAAGAAATACATCACAGCAGTGAGATAAGGCATTTTAATTGACAAATATTTCGAATTTCTAACCACCGCTTTTTAACAGCTTTGCAGTGGCTTTAATATCTTGAGTTTGTGTGCCTTTGATTTCTGGCTGATGACTAAACTTAACAAATGTAACTTTTTCAGAAGAACGGAAGAGAATGAGATCTTTGCTGTTATTTATAAACTTAAGCAGTTGAAAAGAGAGCCTGAAAAAAATTGGCTCCAACAGAATTAGCTAAGTGGTAGAGCGTTTGTACCGGAATCGGAAGCCATGGGTTTGAGTCCCATTGGAGCCTAATTTTTTGAGGCGTTCTTTTCAACTCATTCTCTTTCATTCTATCCACCACAGTACACCTAATTATATGATTTGTTTCATATAATCATTATCGCGCTATTTCAGAACAATCATCCAGCCTTCGTGAATTGAGGAAACATCAAATAACAAAATTCAATGTAATAGTCAAATACAATTCAAAATACTAGTGAAAATTAAAGTATTTAACAAAGTACTTACAATGGCAAATTAATCATGTATAATAATGTATTGTGTGGGTGTATTTATAACTTAGTAGCTCCATGCCCAAGCACTGATCTTTATCATATCCTTGAGGAATTTCATCTGTGCATAATAGCACAGCAACATTTTCCCCCAATTTCTATTCTGTTCACCACAATTAAGTATCATTTAGTTTATTTTCATGATAACAGCACTTTGAATTTTGTAGGCCATTTATTACAAAATTTAAGGCAAGGAAATTTAAAATGCGCTCAATGAGAAAAAACAGAAAAATGCAATAAGAAATCAACACACTCGGACAGCCAGATTGTAGTCGCTCAGTCGCGCATAAAAAGTTACATTACTAACAACTAAATAATCAGATAATTGGATGAAAACATCAAAAGTTCTAATAATAAATTGAATTAAAGTAAATTAAAAAGGCTTCTTTAAACAAGAACGTCTTAATAAGATTCTTAAAGCTGTCAATAGTGCAGGCATTCCTGGCATCAGATGGTAACATGTTCCAAAGTTTAGGAGCGGAGATCATGACTGCATGGTCACCAAGTGTTTTCTTTGAGATGAAACTTGGATGGCGCAGTAAGGTTCCTTGACTGTCACGGCGCAGGTTGTAATGCCCTTGTTGAACAACAGAAATGAGATCACAAAGATACGATGGTGCCCAGCCATGAATAATTTTAAATGCAAGAAGTAAGATCTTTAGGAAGATTAATGTTCACGATAGCAATTCTATTGTACTAAGAAATTTGAAGATTGTAGAGACCTGTGACCACACAAACAGAGAATGGTAAGCCTGTGACCATACCACCCGGTGCTGTGATGTTGTCACGGAATGAGCCAACTGTAGCAATGATAGTACTTCCCTCCCTTGACTCTAGGTATTGCCCGGGACACTTCAGCATTATGTTGGCACCCATTGCTTCAACCAGTAGAGGCTTGTCATTGTAAACTACCCTCGGATCTGATGTTATATTATCCACTGGTACAACATCCTCTGGTATATCTCTAGCTATGTTGGTCCACAGAATTATATACTCAGGTCGTGCTGAAATAACCTTGTGGTGTTTAAGTTCATTGTGCAGTGCATGACTCTGTTGTCCAGGCTCTGGCATATTCCTTAGCAGCTTGGAGTCTGTACATTTGCTTCATATTCAAGACACCATGTAGTGAAAGATGGCTTCTCAACATGTTTTTGAAGTTAGAACTCGGTCCTCACTGCTAGTCATGATTTCTCTACAAACATAATTTCGAAACTGAAACATACATGTAATGTCATTGCGTTCGTAGAACGCATACTAATCTCGTGGTATGCCTGTGATCTCCTGCGTGTCCTGTGCATACCATACAGACTCATTTCGGTCGATGGTTCGATCGTCTTCCATTCTGGGCGGAGCTTCCCGTCAAGATATTGAATGATGTCACGTTTCGTGGTGCAAACAAAATGGCGGACATAACCAGGGATGTCAGATTTGTGCCTCAAGAATTGATGAAACCATAGTCTATTACTGATGAAACTTTGGTATTTAAATGGAGGAAAGATAACACATTTAACGAGTGAAATGTGGGCATGACAACCGTTGATGAGTCGATCGGTTCATCGATCGATAAAAGCTTGTTACAGTTTATATTCAGTTGGCTGGCTAACAGTCTGTACATATTTTCCTTCGGAACACACAAGCGATTGTTGATTATTTATGCCTGTACTGAAGTCAATTCAAGTAATCTATAACGATGGACATGTACATTCCCTTCTGAACACACCAGCGAACATTGCAGTAAGTGACTTTAATTTATATGTCTCATTGCTTATGTTTGTACTAAGTTTGTTGAACAGTCAACTTTTGAGTTTGTTGAGCAGTCATTGTGCTCACCCAGTCAAGTAAAATGATTGTGTAGCTGTGCTTCACTCCTGTACATGTAGCACACCGTCAAATATATGGTACTATTTCGAAAATTGAAGTGTTATACTTTTTTATAGTTTGCATACCGGCCATTTAATTTTCATTCAGAGATCTAGTCGAATATTTAATCTATTGGTGGTTTAAGAACTGTTTGCTTGCATAAACAACATCAGAAAATTAACAGGTTATAGAGCAGGTAGAAAGAAATGTTCCGTCCAAACTATAACTTCGTAGCGTTTTTCATAACCGAGTTATTACGAAAATAATTTTCAGAAAATTACAGTATTTAGTATGCAGCCGCCATGTTGGTGTCCTTCTTTGGGACACCAACATGGCGGCCATAAAATTGTACAAGAAGTAGAGTAGATTCCACCATCAACATCATTAGCTTTGACTTCAAAACTCTTTAGATATCACTTCTAAATTATTATCACGTATGGAAATTTAAAAATGACATAAAAATACCCGTGTTTGGTCGTTTTTGTGACAGTTCAAAAACACGTTCATCCAGGACATCGCAAATTTAAAAATGCTTTATTTTCGAAACGAAGCACTGTATCGATACCAATATAGATTACCAATATAGATTATGCATAGAGGTTGATGTCTTGTATGTCTAGAATATGCGAAAAGAATAGCTATGTAGAATTAACAGTTTAGATTTTAGAATTTTGATGACGTCAGATGCAAACTAAGAATACACCCCGCCTAATACAAAACTCCGAGCTACTGAAAAATCTTGAAGTTTATTTCACCAAACATAATCATAAATGTACAAAATAACACATTGAAGGTATGAAATTTAATCCAGAGGTCAACTTTTTAAGTTTGTTTTGCTAGAATTAATGTTGATTCCTACTTCATACAGATACCCTCTGATCTATTACTGAAACTGGGGATGTTATAAATAATCAAGTTTGAGGGTGGCCCATGACTTTTCTGTCTTTAGTTACGACTTACATATGGTTTCAAATTGCACCAAAAGCCCAAATTGCATGACTACTGAAACCGTGCCTGAACGTGAGTAAACTGTACCCAGAACTGTTCATAAATTGTACAATGTTTAATGTCTCAAACTTTTCTGTCTGCAACTCGAAAACCCACCGTCCTTTTAAAGGAGAAGGTCACTCCAGAAATCGCACTTTTTTTCTCACTACCATTAAAAAGTATATATGAAGATGAATTACTGACCGTAGTTTGAAGTTCCAAAGACCCTCGTAACCTCGGGAATATTGCCTTCAAAGTGTCGAAAAATTCGACTAAGGCGGCCGCCATTTTGAAGACTACTCAGCAACCTGGCCGCATAATCGTGACGTCAAATAGTCCAACCTAAATTGACGGGAAGCGCTGTGTGATTTAAACATAGTTGCTGTTTTGGTGTGCCTTCGTTCGATGTTTCGAGTCCACAATGCGGCCTCTTGTGCAGCTCCAAACTGTTGTAACAGATTGCAAAAGGATAGAAGAGGAATTATATTTCATCGTTTTGCCGTTAATTGAAAAGATCTTGCCAAGAAATGGCTAGTTAAACTCGGCCGCGATAAGAGATTCTTGCCAAAACCCGATAACATTTATGTTTCTTCCGACCACTTTACGGATGACTGCTTTGAGATTGATTTTAAGTCAGATCAACATCTTTAATACTGGTAACACTATAAAAGAAAGCAGAAACCTGATGCTGTTTCGACAATTTTTAAACACGGAAAGTCGGTTCGCTAGCGAAAGAAGCAAAGCCATGAAAGAATGACAAGAGGTTAGTTTGTCAGTATTAAGGCGCTGTGACAATAAAACTATTTCGTGCAACTTGTCTCGCAATTTTGAAAATTGAAAGAAGCGTTGCTTAGTGTAACACCGAAATGCTGCGTTGCCGCGATCGCTTCGAAAAGTATAACTTGATTCTGCTTCGTCGAACGGGACAATAATTAATTTTAGGAGGTCGAGGGCACGGGTGGGCGTTACACGTTAACGGCAAACGATGAAATATAATTCCTCTTCTATCCTTTTGCGACCTGTTACAACAGTTTGGACCTGCACAAGAGGCCGCATTGTGGACTCGAAACATCGAACGAAGGCACACCAAAACAGCAACTGCGTTTAAATTACACAGCACTTCCCGCCAATTCAGGTTGGACTATTTGACGTCACGATTATGCGGCCAGGTTGCTGAGTAGTCTTCAAATGGCGGCGGTCAATTCGAATTTTACGATACTTTGAAGGCAAATTTCGCGAGGTTATGAGGGTCTTTGGAACTTCAAACTACGGTCAGTAATTCATCTTCATATATACTTTTTAATGGTAGCGAGAAAAAAAGTGTGATTTCTGGAGTGACCTTCTCCTTTAAGGAAAAAATATTTTGTCGAACGCACTTTAATAATCTGTGATTACTCTTAGTACATTAGAATATACTCACTACAGGATATTGCAATTTTTGACAATCTGATTGGTTCCCTACTCGAGGTATATGAGGCAATGTACCATTACTACCTTATTTGGGAAACCTGCTAATTACGAGCACATCCACATGCATCACAAATGCAAAGTCGCATTTTTTTTTCAAAATAATAAATATCCCATTTTTCCTCAGTTTGTTCCTTCATTTTTCTCCGGTAATTTAATTGCAATATCCTGGGCTATGATCGAGTTCATGTACAACTCAATTTTGTGGAATAATTGTTAAATATATTTGAAACCAAAACCTGTGATGTTTTATAAGCACATGAGGACAAGACACATCAAAATAAATTGACAGAATTAGTCACTGATTGATATTGCTGGTATTTTGAAAAATATGTGAGTGCCCCTACTATAATCTCTGGACTGTGTTGATGGTATTTTCGTGTTGCTCGGTATCCAAGTATCACAAGTGAAGTAGACATGTATG